CGCAGTTTTGTGTACGAGCCCTTTATTAGGAACTATATTCTGCCGACAGTTTCGCCCGTGTTCCCATAGGATAAAAAATGGGCTATGTCTATGTCTCTCTACCTCTGTTCCAAATTTCGTCTCGATCCCTTTACCCGTTTTGATGTAAAAGAGTAACACAGACACTCACAGATTAACACATACATGAGGATGTGTGTGTGTATGTGTGTGTGTGTGTGTGTGTGTGTGTGTGTGTGTGTGTGTGTGTATGATGTAGGTATGCGAAATTTTGTGAGGACAAATCTTCGCATTTATTATATTAGTAGGATTTATTGTTATTTACTTAATTTTACTTCTCTTTTCCTTGGGTCCCGGTTCTTACCGAAAACGTACGAAATGCGAACTACGCAAACACATAACATCTTAAATGAGATATCCCACTGTTTACTATTAACAGATATCTAAGTAATATTATTATATTATAGAATAGGATATTTCCTATTAATTAACAAAGTATAACTGTAATCATTCATTATAAGATGAACTAGAATGTTCTAGATCCACAGATCTAGACCATTATCTAGAGCATACATAGAACATAGACCTGTAGGTCTATTAGATTATTGTCTAGCACAGACAGACGTTCTTTTATTTACCTTATGAATAAGGACCAATATTTAATGATTTATTTCAAAGATCTACAGAGAATTCTTTGTTTGTTGTACTCGCGTCTATTTAGAGATCTTGATTAATGATTAATTAATAGTAATTGAAATAAATCAAACTTAATCTCTTCCTGACCAACATCGTCAATGAATCGTCCAACACACATCAAGTTATACAGAACCAACATATCATGAACTCGCTTTGTATAATCTCTCTGCACATTCACGGGTCAGTTTATATTGGTTGTGTAACTTGACGTGTAGTCGTATGTACAATGAATAAAGAATCTTTACATTAACTACATGCCATTATAATTTATTGCGAATTAACTTCAAAACACAGGAACCAGTGTATAAATCAAAATAAGATAAAATTTTAATACCAATGAGAACTGCATTCAAATCCGTTCACTTGTTTACATGTGATGCACGTGCATATATACTTACAGACAGAGAAACAGACAAAACAACTGTCATTGTGGCTTTTTTATTCAGATAAGAATCAAATAAGATCAAGAAAAAAATAAGATTTCAAGAGTCTTTCTCTTGAAATCTTATTTTTTTCGATTTTATTATAAAAGCGAAAGTGTGTATGTTTGTTTGTTAGTCTTTCACTTCAAAACTACTGAAGGGATCAAAATGAAATTTTTAACAGTGGATTAAGTATAAACTTTTTTAAGGAGGTAAAATATCGAATGATTTCTCCCGTCTGGGTGAGACGGGCGGGAGTGTCAAATTCTTACTGACTAAAACCACCCTGTTCCTACTCCTGCACTTCAAGCGCGAGCCCCCGGTAACCCGTTAAGTTCTTCGCGATACCGTATCGGCATCAGCCCTATTTGGCCCCATCCGTGGTGGTCTGATGGCTTTTTGAGGCGCACGCGGAAGTGGATTATGATCTGGAATGACATAGGATTTTTTTTACAATACACTTTTTATTATTTATTATTATTTAGGTATATGCTACATTTTACCGCCGAAGTCACAGGCGCAACCGTTTGCAGAATATAGGATAAATAATACTAGAATAAATATTTCAGACCCGGATAACTCATCGAGTTTATTATTATTGAGATATTCATTGTTTATACCTATTACTTGTAATATACTGTAACACTATCAGTTGAGGAATTTTCTGGATTCTTCTCAGTACATATAATCTACATATTTTAGCTATGATGTCGTCGGTTCCCTGACCTTATACGTTTAATTATAAACTTTGTATTACATCTAATTTTAATTACGTTTTGAATGATATAACAAAGGTAACGAGTATAATTTTTCCTTATTGTTTTTGTTTATTGTTCGAGAAAGCTCGATTAATTTCAAATAATAACCGGAGCTCATAAGTTCAGTGGAGTACAGTCTTACTCATCATAGTTAATACACAAAATTGTATGCGTGTCTTGTATGCGTATTTTAATAAACAAAATATTACACGATAATACATTTTATTACTGAATTCCTTAATCAACAAATTGAAATTCCAGAGCTGACTTAAACAGTAAAGCGAAACTATAAGTTTTATCTTTAAAACAAGTTTAACGAGTACTTTTATTTTATTTTTTTGACAAATTTTGATGCAGTCGTGTTACTTGTATTACATAATTAATTCTCTGTTTATATTTAAGAATAATTAAAGTATAGCTAAGCTATGATACTGAACGGTACTTTCCGTCTGCGGCCTTGCCCGTGTGTAATGTAAAAGTTTTGTTTTATAGGAATAGCGTCTATAAAAATAGACTTATTACTACTTCCTGAAAAGTAAGCTTATGAATAGCTACGTACCATGGATAATGAATGTTTTAAATCGTATTTATTTATTTATGCACAACACACAGGAGAATACATATAAATAAATTGGTATTGGTATAATAGGCTATATATTCCCGTAGAAATCTCTTCCTGCAATCCTTCGACAGGAAAAACAGTCGTACCATAGTTTCAGAATCTATTTAATGTAACACTTAAGCTGATAATCAAACTATACTTAGTCAAAAATTAAATTCTCTTTGAAATTTCCCTTTATCTACCCAAAATAATACGTCAGCAACATTATGTGTTTTATGGCTTCAACTTTAAAGTTCAATATAACTACGGAAGTGTTACAAAGATACTGAGTACATTGGTATCATTTGTTGTCAAATAACCTAGAACACTGCGTCCTGTATCAAGGCCAACATAATAATATGAAGAAGTGTAAACAAATTATTTGATAAGCTACATAAAATATTCCATTCTTATGAAGGCCGGAAGCTATTACTGGTATTAATAATGATATACTTAATAAAGTTAAAAGTACTTTTCCATTTCTCTGCACCACTATTCTGCATTAAGTCCGCCATTGTATGATTGTTTATAGGTATAGGTTAGTCAAAATAATGAGGCCAACAAATTAAAAAAAACTCGAAACAAATTGTTGACGTGACTAATTGGACCATCTTGTATAGTATTAAATAATTATAAGTGCTACATGATATGTGCTGCTACCCCTTTGAGGATTAGATTTTGTAGAGAAAGCCATCAAATTCCTCATCCCGAAATTATCAATCGATTATTAAATCACAGACAGACAGACTTTAGACAGTTAGAGTATCACACTCTGACTGTCTAAAGTTTAAAACTACCCTGTTTCAAATACTCTAAGCCGAGTCGCGGTATGTAATTGTGCTTAATTGGCTGGAGAATTAAAAGGCTAATATGTATTACTTTTTTATCATGAAAAAACTAAAGTAACTACGCTATTATTGAAGTCACGGGTAACTATTAGTTGTCAATTTAGCAGGAAAATCTTAATTTATTGGATTATAAACTTACTTATTTTCCCACGATAAAATTACCTTAACAATATGATTATTACGTTTAATTGTGCTATTTAAAAATAATAACAGTAGATGATCCATTAAAACATAGTTAAAAAGATAATAAATTACAAACAATGTAAAGAATACATCCTGAAACATTGTACATAATTACTTATGGTAGATACTAACATAGTATAAGGCAAGGCAAAGGCCCGAGTGAATAGGCCGATTATGGGACGACGCGCTCCATCGTAGACCGCATCATCGCTTACCACCAGGCGAGATAATAGCAAAACGAAAGCTCATCAATAAAAAAAAAATCAGTAGATATTAACATAGTATGTACCTACTGTATTTTTACTCTATTTTTCAACTTAAAAACGGAACCAACTCTTTTCCAAACTTGGCAATCCAAAACAGTACTCGTAATAAGTATGACATAACATCATGCCTTTTATTCCCAAAGAGGTAGGCAGAGGTGCACATTACACTTACAGCACTTAGTGCCACTGTACAATGTAACAACCACTATTTACTATTTATGTTACGAGTCCCATAATAAGTACTATTGGTATTTAGCCTCCTTTTTTATACTTAGCCCACCTGACTAAACTTTCAACTTCAGGACAAATAAACTCTAAAATATTAATTAAAACCTAATGTCGCTACTAACCAACATAATTTATTATTTCTGTGACAGTAAAATTATTGCTGATATAAATCAAGTTAACTGACAAAGAATTAATTGGTATCGTATTGGTTTCATTACTATAACTATAAATAAATTCATATTATTTTCTTTGTATTGTCAAGTTCTAAAGTACTATTTATAAATGACAGTTAAAATTATTATTATTAATTTTATTAAAACAAAAAATATCAAATTATACTTACAGATATTATTACATAATTTATGTAAATTTTTCTGACAAAATAGAATGAATACGTCTATTTTTCTTGTCATAAATTTGAAAAAAAAAACTTATAGGACAAACCTACTAATTATTATTCAAGTATGATTGACATATGCTAAGTTACATTCAGTACAAAAATACAATACGTGCGTAAGTAAATAAGCCGATTTTAAAATTAATGTACTGTTATTAACGTTACATTAGCAAACAAAGAATTTTAGTAAAAAGTTGGAATTTCTGTTGCTCAACAATGAATGACGCTATTATCCTGTCAATATTTTAAAAATGCTATCGAAATGACCTACAAAAAATACCAAAATATAACAATAGTTTGACAATTCCCGTGTCACTGTGATAGCTGTCAATCATAAACAAACAAAACAATATGACAAATAAATAAACAATTTTTAATTCAACATACATTGTGACTGCATTTAACTCTGTACTATATCTTGTCCTCAGATACGAGCCAATGGATCACTTGCATTCCGGACTTCAACAAGTAACGACGAAGACAAAAGTGTCCCTATAATTCCTATAAGTTACAAAGTGTGAGCGAGACAGAATATTTAGAAAGTGACAACAATATCCGTGTTTCGGAGAAAGTGTAACCGCGTTTAGTGAGTGCTGAGCTTAAGATGACGCCTAGTCCAGAAGATTTAAGTATTTTGGGGGGCAATAATAATGTTGTGCCCTTATTGCCGCGACCTACTGTGGAATTGGAGTTCAGTAATATATCTTGCAACATCAACGTGTTTATTGCCAACAAGCTAAGAATTGGTAAGTCTCTTTTTTGCATTTTTGGTACCTACCTGAATTTGGGTTTTGTCGAAGTTTTTTTATGTAGGGTTGAATGGGAATAATAATGTTCGAAAGTATAATTTATTTAAGTGTTTATGCAGCATTCTTAACTACATATTTTTATATCAAAATACATATTTTGTTCGTAAATATTCTCAACATTTTCATGTAAGTATTAGGGCCGATTTTTCCAACACCAGATAAAATGTAACTGAGGAATAATTTTGAATACTTGACAATTCTTCCATACCTACTTAAAACTGTCGGCCCTAAATATATGACTAAATTTTTAGGAAGTAGATAACTTCTTAAAACTTGAATTAAGTAGTTGTGTCGTGGCCAGGTTTTAATTGCACATAATAAATATTTAGTTAGCCTTAATAATGAGCAAAATAATTTGATAACATTTTGCGTCCCTCACGTCTTATCGCTAAGAACACAGAATACTAGATGCTTATAGTATCCCTTGATAGATTAAAAGTCTTCTAATAATTTGATCTTTTAATCTATTAAAACCCTTCAAAATTGTTCACGACTGTACCGTTTTATGTATTAGTTTAATCAATTATAAATTATAATTAAGTGTTGATATACAATATTCGATTACTTTAATGCATTTTACATGTTACAGCTTAAGTCGTAAATTCCTTCGAACATGCAATTACACGCAACGAGTAACACTATAGTCAATATCTTTTATGACTTATTTACTGACCTTCATCCTTATAGGATTTAAAACTACAAACAGTAGCTATTAACATTATCATCATTATCGTCAATACAGTTCCAATATACTGTTGGACTAAATGAGAAGGGCTTATACTAAATCTCCAGGAGAACTGTGAAATGATCTGTCGTCAGTGGTACGACCTTCGAACATTAAAGAAAAGAGTCCATGGGTGGTGCTGATCGCTTACCATCAGGTGGTCCGTCTGCTCGTTTGCCTCCTATTCCATATAAAAAGGAAATTGCTGTTCAAAACATTTAAGTTGTTCAGAGAGTGCTTCTTCTTGGTCTCTATTAATTTTTATTACCTTACGATTGAAATCAATTGCCGGTCTCAATCCAATCCAAAATCTGTGGATTTTGACCATATTTTTATCAACCAAAAATCGAGCACGATCCAAAAATTTCAAAAACAAGTTATTAATTTTAGCCGTCATCAGTCGACTCTTACGAACCTACGGGAACAGTAGGGTTGGTCACAGGAGTATCCTAATCTGCCGTCACCATGGCAACCTAAATAAATGTCTATATCATATAACCTATCCCTTGACACAGTTATGAAGTACTTAAACTATTGATATATATCCTTAATACTGACCTAGTAGCCAAGCTTAGACACGCAATACGTGGACTAGTGGCATACCGGTTTATAGATGACATAATAATATCGGAAAGGAAAGAAGAACAGTATTATAATAGGTATACATATATACGGACCGGTTGTTCGGAAGTTCAATAGTTCATAAACTAATGTAAATAACTTAAACGAGTAATTATTATTTTTCTGGCATATTAGGTTAGTAATGTAATCTAGAATGAATGAAAGAAATTTCAAAAACTGCATGTATGGTTTATACCTCTATACCTATAATACGGAAATATGATGCCTTAATTAAATTCTACTTGAGACAAGAGGTTTTATATTTGTAGGTATATTTGTATTAAGGTTATAAAGACATAACTTTAACATATGTCGTGTTATGAGTATAATATATTATATTTATATAATATAAGGTACAAAAACCCAAATAGGTAGTAGACAGAGCCGTACTACCAGCGTATAATACAATTATATAAGCAATGTTGTTCTACTTTTTTAAATTATGTAAGAATATCTCACGGCATCGGCACGGTAACCTAGATTTAGTCTTATTTTTGACCAAAACAATGTTGAAGTTTTTTAAATATACATTATGCGATTCAAAGAGAGCGCTTCTGGATAAATAACTATAGTATTTTGGGACACTTTATATACAGAATGGGACACTCAATACACAAAATGGGACACTCAATATACAGAATGGGATACTCAATATATAGAATGTCCCACAGCAAGCAGCAGGAAGGAAAAGCATCTTAAATATTGTATTACTGGATTTTTATATTAATTTGATAAAGATATTGGCATGTAATTAAATGATAATAGAATTGATTAAAACAACACATTTTTTTAAATAATGCTTGGTCATTAATACAAATGTTAAGTACTTACCTACTTCAATTGCTGTCATAATATAATATGTGAGTGTATAAGTACATTGCTCTAAAACATCAAAGGAAACGTAAACAAGATGAATCACACTGTTTACAGCTTCAACTGTAATTCAGTAATTTGCTCAGTGTTCTTAATATAGAAACTATTATGGCGGCTGAAATGGAATCATTCTGTAAATGACTGACTCGCGTGAGATCATCAGAAACCTTGAAGATAAATGATACCATGATTTTCGCATTTTCAGATGCAAGGCTGACGAACTATTTATACCTACATATATGTATAGTATGAATCACCCAGTTTTTACCATATTTCCATATACTAGTGTACATAACCGTCGTACTCAAGTCATTTAACCTCTGGACCGTCGGTATATAAGACACAAAAGAAAATACAAGAATTGCACAAAATTATTCCCCCTAGTCCATTTCACCACCGTACCACCAGACGAACGGTGGGGCGCCACCCTTATATGGTGGACATTCCACCCATTCGCACGAAGCGTTTCGCGTCAACCTTCCTCATGCGAACCGCTAAGGAATGGAATTCCTTGCCAGAGGCTGTGTTTCCCGTCAAATATGAATTGGGTGTCTTCAAGTCCCGAGTGAACAGGTTGCTCATAGGTAGGCGTGCTCCATCGTCGGCCACATCATCGCTTACCATCAGGCGAGATGGTGATCAAACGTCGACCTATAAAGTGTAAAAAAAAATACATTGGGTCTTGCGCAGAGTTACATTCCGGCATACCACTTGACGAAGTTCACAGCAACTGTTTTCGGAACAATATCGTTAATAAGGAATAGATTAAGTAATCATTAAAATATCTCTGGATACGGCCGTAAACCTCTTCAATATCACGTTACTAAATTACATCTTTAGCTCTTTGCATTCAACCACAGACAGCCATCTTGCGGATATCGAAAGTAACAAATATAAACAAAATACAACCAGGTTATCTCAAACAAAACTTTGCTTTTAATTATATTTTTTTAATTAAGTGCTCGATAGGTCAAAAAAACATAAGTGTGACGACGATAATAATTTTAAGATGTATGAAAACAAAAAAAAATATGGTTCTCAATTCGAACTTAGGACATAATATGTAGTAAGTTAATGACCTGCGCTCTGTTTGTAATTGTGGTGGACTCGTGCAGTAAAACCTTTTTTAATACATTTCAATATGTATTTTGCGGAAATATATTAAGTACATGAGTATTTACCTTTTATAGTAGTAAATTGGTCTGACATGCTGTTTACAGCAGCTACATGTTATAGTACTAGGACTCTAATCCATTGCTGCTGTTGTTGTTGCCATTGCCTGCTGATAGATACAAAGTTTAAAAAAATCATTAATAGCATCGAGTCGGGAATTGTGTCCAGTATAAGGCAATTAGCTCACCCCCTATTACATGGGACACATAATATGAATAGTAAAAAGTGGGTGTTATTGTACAGTGGCATTAAGTGCCGTAATGTGTACCTCTGCCTACAGTTTAAACAGATATAATGTTATGTTGTTATGTTATATTGCAAATTCAACTACTAAATAATAACTAACATGGTATACCAAGAACGTCGTAACTCAAGTTGTTTTCGTAAGTTATCTAGAAAATAAAAAAGCAATGTTGTCGTAACAGTAAAACAATGATCGTTTCCCAATTGCATTGGAATATGAAACTAAACCAGATTTGGTTAAATGTCAATATTGTGTGGCAACCTGACCCACAATACCGAAACCTGAACATTATTTTAATTACAATTTACGGGAATCTACTTTTACACGTACTTTAAAAAGTAATATTTTCAATTGAAAGATTAAATATGTTTTTTAATTACAGTAGCTAACCAATTAAACATATTATTATCAAGACGTTTTTGATTTGCTGTATTACTTAATTAAAACTGCATGATGACCGGATGACGCGCATTATACTTATCAGTTGCACTTCCAAGAAACGCAGTTTTTATTATTTTATCTCCCAACATAAACAAAAGTCTATATTTATTCTGTTGAGATGATTATGAAGAAAAATCATACATGTTGCGAGGAAACACATTAAACCCTGTGTTACACATAAAATATATGTAACATGTACATAAATAATAATAATAATAAAAATTTGAGTATTCTCAGCTAGTCTTCATAAATAAACACATCGTTTTTAAATTACTATAAGGCCGATTCCAGCACAAATTGATTACAATGCGTCGCGTCAAGTCAACAGACATTGCGCACGCGCAAGTAATGTTGGCAGAGTCGACTTCCGTCGGCTTATATAACGTAAACGGAAGTATGTAGCTCTCATATAGTCTACAGTTTCAACATTATCGCCCATCATTTGCATGAGAAATACAATGTGAAGTTTATTTATTTTATACATAGATACAAAACTAAGCATGTATTTACCTACATGCATATATATAGCTGTGTTTAATACAAACATTTGTCATGTACATGTTTTTAATAAACACTTGCTTTTAACCGACTTCAAAAAAGAAGGTTCTCAGGGGTTGATATATGTGTGTGTGTTTATTTGTGCTCGATTATCTCGAGATTGACTGAACAAATTTTGATGCGGTTTTCAGAAAAGTGTTTATTACACTTATTGTTTTCTAATTAATAGATGCAGTCGGTAAGTAAGAATAGATGGTTGTAGCATTATGCTAAATAGTAACAAAACCTCTTTAAATAAATATTTTTTTTAAGAGGTTTGTCGACCTCTTAGAACATTTGTCTACCGAAAGACCAAAATAGAAA